CTACGAAGAATGAGAATGGTATGACTCCTAAAGGCCAGCAAAACCTGGGGCCTTAATGGAGCTGCCTATGAGAAGAGCAGGTGATAAACCTAGAAGACAGGACACATTCCAGAATATGAGCACAGCACCTCTTCCAGGTTAGGACAGTTCTGAGCACTTTCAACATGTGAACACAGACCACATTTAAAATGTCAAACAAAACCCATGCTATATGGTCCACCAAAAACACCAAGTTTATAGTGAAATTTATTGTTCTGCTTCCTAATACAATAAGCTACAAGGTACATACAGTATAAAACGAGAACAGCCACAAAGCAAAGGTGATAAACATTCTGTGACGGTACAGTGGAGGTAATGTCTGTCAAATCCTTCCACTTTATCCCACAAACAGCAGCTAAAACTACTGGCCCTCCCCCTCCCTCCCCTCCAAAAATATTAAAAAGTAAACTGTCTCTCTCACTTAGGAGCAGTGGGATTCACTGGGTTTTTTGAGGGCACTGGTTATCTGCCAATATCTCAAGAAAATTATTGAAACTAAAGTAACAAAGAAAAACTGTGAAGGTGGGAGTGACATGACCCATGCAAGATGCTCATGACACCTTGGTTCACTTCTCCTCAGAGCAAATGGCCTGTAAAGAAAGGAAAAGTTTGTTACACCAAGTAAAACAGCAATTAACATGATGAGAGTTAAGATATAGTAAGCAATATCTGAACTAGACAGGACTAGGCACACAGCTAAACTACTCTTCTAATGAAAATATAATCTTCCTGTTAATAAAGTTTGGAGATTGATAGCTGACAATCCTTCTCCTTTTATTTTTAGATGCTGTATGGGAGGGTGCACATTGACATGGGCACAGCTGACACCTATTATACAAGGCTCCAAATCAAATAATCTTGTCTGGGAGAATTCTAACAATGACATGAAGTGCAACCTCAACTCTTAAAAAAACCTAAAAAACATCAAGGCTATAACTGAACACTCAATACTTACCTTAAAGGCACAAAATTCCATTTAACCACTTTTTCATATATACTTGGTGCGGTTGAGGGCTCTCTCAGCAAGATGACCACTTTCATCTGTTATCTTCTCCCAATCTGTTTGTCCAACAACAAAACCAATGGCTCTTTTCCTGTCTGCATCTTTTTTTTCTTCTAGATCTGCCCACCGCACCTGTGGAGAACACACTATCAGTAGGACAATCTCTTAAGAAATCCTGAGACAAGTCTAGGCTTTCCACTGCAGATAAGAGCACAAGAATTCTAATTTGTACTCATTTTCATTAGAACAGGTAAGTATTAATTTGTTTTCCAATGGGTAAAGATGGAAACTACACCAGTTACATTATTTTTAATTGAATAACCCAGGTGTTCCACGGAGTAGAAGAAAGGTACAGATGATTAGCCTTTTCCATTTCAGTGCTAGAATTCTGAGAGCTGAAGTGTAATTACTACAATTATTTCTCTGTTCAAAGCAATGCTTTTTGCAGGAAGAACTATCAAAGATTAATTTAGTGTCTTCATTTTCTATACAACCTGTCTTTCAATTGCACAATGGAAACATCTAGAAGACGACTATGAAACTACAGAAAGACAGTGTTAAAGAGCAACTCAGCAATGAATGAGAGGAACAGTTTTCTTCTCTATCTTCTGTGATACATTTCTGTCTAAATCTTTCCACTATTTTGTCACACTAAACTTCTTCATGCATTTGTTATCTCCCATCTTTACAGCTGCAGCCTTCTCCTCTGTGGCTCTTCATGGTCATGCAGATCACTTGCATTCATCCTGTTCAACCATATACAGTCACTCTCACCCACAAACCCAGACACCAATGGGAGGGAGTGCAACAAGGAGGAGGGAGTGAGGGAGGTGATGATGAAGGGCTACAGTCCAGAAACTCAGCTGGAACACACCGTTGCAGGACAAAAAAAAAAAAAACAGTTAGTGAAGGAGCTCTTCCTTGACATCCTAACTGATTAGTCCCATTCAGGCTGACTTGTTACCTGGGAACATAGTCTTGTTACCTTTCTGCCAGCACCCCCCTATTCCACTTTCTAGCTGGATTTCCCCAGACATTCCCGCTGATAAGTAATGTCTGCTTTCTTCCACCATCAATTCCTCTGCCAATGCCTTAGTATCTCCATTTCTCTCATGCACACTGTCCAGTACTACCCATGTTTTCTATTTGACATTACAGAACAAAACAAAGCCCAAACACCCACAGTTAAATTACTTTTAGTGGCAAAAGCTGGTCTTTCTATTTTGGAGACAAAAAAAAAAAAGTATTAACTCTTCCTCTTACCTCTCTTTCATCTTTCTCTACAATTTTTTGCCCTTTTTTTCACAATGTATTTGAAGATGTAGCATTGTGTGTTCAGAACAGAACTACACATAAAGTGGTTGAAGCCAACTTCTTATACATCATCTCCCAAGCTTTATGCAAGGTATATGCAGGAGGTAATGTCTACAAGACCTAACTGATATAAAACCTAGAAAGCTGATACTTTCCTCAGCTGAATCTTTTTGAACATAAGAACAGTGTACTGTTTCTCTGCCTACTTACTACAAAACCTAACAAAAAAACAGCTTAATAAAATCATCATCTTGTCTTGGAATCTGCACTGTATATCACACTATCTCATCACAAAACATACAGCATAAGAAAAGGACTCTACGGATTGCTCTGAAACAAAGTGCATCATCTCCCCCAGCAAGAAATGGGACATGACTCCATTCTCAATCTCAAAAGCCATGCCATGCATAGTTAATCTTTATTATCTACAACTCCTCACTTCGTTACAACTGATTTGTTTACCTCTGGAAGACCCTACTCTCAAGAATATTCTCTTACAGAACCTAATGGGACAGCAAATGAAAAGTGAGCCAGTGAAATCGCCATATTCATAGACACTGCATGACTTGATACAACTCTTTTTCACAGAGACCGTTAAATGGTCATATACAGAGAGAAAGTCATTTGAAAATTTATTACCCTTTTCTTTCCAGGTTCAGAAGCACGTGTATCATAGTCATCTGGAAGCTGTAGATAATCTTCCATTCTGCTGGCAATTGCTTCCCAGTCACGTTTCCTTTTAGTGCCAGTCCGCAAACCATCCAGCTTGTCTGAGAACAAACACAGAGCCTCAGAGTTAAAGGAGAATTTTTTTCTAATATTCACACAAACAAGACGAGAGTGGAAAAATTTTCAAAAGAATGAGCAGCAGAACTTGTACATCCAGCTTGTCTTGACAGGTGGAATGATGAGAGTTGAAATAAACTAGAGAAGACAACACCATTTTCAAGTTTTATTGATCTTTCACATTAACTGTGTGGCAATAACACTCAGTCTTGTTATTTGTATGAAGGAGAAAAGCTTGTTCTTCTGGATGTTCATACTATACGGAGTCTGTCCTTACAGGTACAATATAGCCAGGAACCACAGGTCCACCTTTCTGTATTTGAACACAATACTAAAGTTGTAGCATTTTTCCCAAATTTGGGGTTTAATACTGTGTCAAACATGGCATACATGCAGTATCAGGGAACAAGTGACGATCATATAATTTAATGCATCAAAGACAAGTTTTTGAGACACTGTTTCTGCTAAACAAAAAGCTCCTTGGAAACCCTGATTCTCCCCCCTTTCTTTTTCTCTCCCCACAAGGAAAACACACTCAAAAATTTCTCCAGGACTGGAAAAAAAAAATCTCAGAATCTTTTGTTTCATGGTGTAAGAGGTCAGTCATGAATATTTGAGCAGTAGGTTTGTCCAACAGTCATCATTTTCTTCTTTTTCTTATTGAACCAATAAGGTATGAGGAGAAACAATTCCATTCCTAGGTTCTAAAATTTTGTTCCTCTTTGGACACTTATTTTCAGTGAAAAAACAACATCTTCTTGAAATTATGTGTCAAACTGCTTTTGGAAAGGAGATGAAGTATCCATTGTAAGATTACGAACAACAAAGCATGAAAATGAAAAATGGCTTTACAAGTCAAAGGAAATCCTAGGACTTCTGTCGATGTATGCTACCATTTTATAAGCCAACAACTCAAGTATATGCAGAAGGAATACTAAGCTTGGCAGTTACATTCTGTAAACCATTTCCAGTGATGTCAGTAACATTGTTTCAGAAGTCACTGATGTAATTAAATTCACCCACAAAAGGCCTCAGAAATAAACCAAGTACAAGGCAGCATATTTTCCGGATAGCAAGAGAGGATGTTCAAGGGTATGTATTTAAAGAAGCTCAGTTCAGAGATGAGTTTTTTTACTTAATATGGGAGAGAAAAGAACAACAACGGAGATAATGTGAGGCAATGGTGATGTAGACACGCTAGAATAATTTAAATGCCATAAACTAATGAAGTAATTTCTCCCTCATACAACTGTAAAATTTTTAAAGACTTCACCTTTGTTCCATTTCCCTGGAACAGATACAGAATTTCTTCTAAGAAAACATTTTAATCCCCCTCTGCCTTTTAAAAAAGCCAACATTTAAGAAAACTGTGCAGAATATTTGTATGTTACATGATATCTTGTTACACGATTCAGTTAAAGCTCTTCTTTTGCTCTAAGTTAAATCTGCCAAAGTTGAAGCTCAATCTCCACAGAAAGGCGGCACTCCCTCTAGAAGACAAAATTGATTTATACAGTATTCCTCTGTTACTCCAGCATATAGCGTGTTTGCACTATTCCTCGGTATTACTCTTGGATCAATCAGCATAGATCATTTGTAGCATAAGGATTTCCAGAAAAAAATGACATTGCAAAGGAGAGCAACAAATGCATCGAGGAGCATTTAGGAACATGAAGAACTGAAAATTCAGGAGCTCTCTGTTGGCAAGTATCTGTACGCAGACATATTCCTGTTGGAAGGCAACATGCTACGATGCAAGCTCATCTCATTACCAATGTGGAAGAAAGAGTTCAGTCTCCCACCCCCTGCTGCACACAGACCAATTGTAAACATCGCCAAGAAATGTGTAACACTCAAACATCAACAGAGGAGTTCAGGAGGCGTTCAGAGTATGAACTGTCCCTTTTTGTTACTGCTACACAGAATTTATTTTAAAATGTTATCTCCTTCCATGTTTGAAGTTGCATTGCCTTTCCAGAGGGATCTGCTCCCATCCATACTATCGTGGTTCAAGGCACATGTGCCATGCAGCAGACATACTACAGAAATGTCAAAAGCCTACCACAAAGCATTATTTCAGAATATTCTTTTCTGAAAATGAGACAAGGTGTCATTTTGTAACAATGGTGCTTGTGAATATTTATGGCAGATGATTATTTAGTGTTAAACTATCAAACATCATTTTACCATTTCAATTTTAAAAACAATGAAGCAGCAGCATTTCTGAAAACCCACAGAACTTAAAAACTCACCTTTAGAATTTTAATAATAAAGCATCTGACTTAATTAGCTAAATTTTTGCCCTTCTTATACAAAAGCCAAAGTTTTATGTAAAATGTTATTTGCGTTCTAGAGCAAATTTTACAATGGTATCAAAACTTTAGCTATGCCAGAGCTCATTTCTCGTTCCCTGGAAGTTTGTAGAACTCACCACTAAGCCGCACTTTGAAACAGAGTATTGCGCTACACACTTCGAATATAGTCAAATTTTAAAAATGTGAGTCCATTTCTGCAAATTTAAATACAAGAACCCGTGTGCACTATGCACTGAGACAGACCAGTGATTAGACTTTAGAATAAAAATGTGACTGTGCACTCACAACACATAAGGAAATGATACACCACACATACTCAGAGGAATGCACCACCCCTGCAAAGTAAATCTGAACTAAAAGCAAGAGCTCTGGGGCGTACGGTATGGCGACTGTCACAATTCAGCGTTGCAGCTAAAGAACTCAAACTTTTCAGACCTTTTCCGAGGCTTTTTACAATCAGTAAGATCTTATTGTGCTTTCCTGCAACAACATCTATTCAGAACGAAAACAAAAAAGCAAAACAAGACTTACAGTGTTGTTTTTGGATTCTGCACTTATATCACTTCTGCAAATGTGTGCCCTCTGAGACTAACACAATAAACCTGATGGGCAGGCCAGCTCCCAGGAAATAACTAAACTTTGGAATAACAAATGCATACCACAGTTTACATGCCTTTCAGGAAATAATTTTAATTGGTCATCTACCACAAAGTCTTATTGTGAATTAAATATAATAATTCTTACTCACAGACTGCAAGTGCTTATAACGCATACCTTGAGCTAGAAGTTGTCTGCCCTTGCAGAGCAATTTTTCAGAGAAACATTCATTACATAGGAATGCCTGGCTTTTTTTAAATGTATGTTCTGTCAGAATCTACTTTTAATCTATAGTTCTATATATTTATAAAAATGAATCTAGAGGGTAGTTATAAAAGTAAAATCGTGAATACAGATTTAATAGAAAGACCTTCTCAGCACCTGTATCTGTGTCTTGCAGCATGCTAACATCCAGTTTGTTAATGGAGTTTGATTGTTGAAGGATTATTGCAACAGCCTTGCAAGTAACTTACTTTAGCATAAAACTGACTCTGCTGCTCGCTCCCCATTTTACATTTAAGTGGAGACCATATAAAAATCCTGTGTTTTATATTATGGAGTTTTCATTGGAAAGAAATGCAACACAGTTGTTAGCAGTACTGATCATGAGAGACAAAGTTTGAAAGCTATCTGTAAATTTCTGCTGCAGTCACAGTCTCCACATTGCTAGAAACTACAAATATTTTTAGAACACACTTTGGATTCCTGTGATATTTATAAAACGCACGGGATGACTTAAGCTTCACCGTATGCAGTGCAACGCATCTGTTCCTACTACTCAGTATTTAAAGAAGTCTATGTTATTTGGAATACAACGCAATGTATCAGAGCATTCTTCAACAATGCAGTTTTCCAGTACTATGATTTCATACACAATTAGGAAAAAAAATCATTATAAACTTAAGAAATAATCTTAAGATATTAAAACAATCAACTCGTAGAACAAAAATGCAGAGCAATCCTGGATTAATTCTGTCTAGCTGCCTAGCTGTGATATGGCGCAATCATTGAGTACAAGGCTCCTCCAGTTGTACTGCAGGTGCCACAATGTCAATATATTCCACAAATATTTAAATAACTTAAAAGAGAGCACAGCAGCAGAAGAGATGGTGCAGCTAAGCAGTTAACAGCAAAAGATGAAAGGCTGCTTTATGTAAATCAGAACTTCTAACGCTATTTCTATGGTGCAATTGTGATTTTGGTTACTGGAAAGTAATGATACACAGGGCTGTACCACACATGCAGAAGCAAACCTCAAAATGTTAAGACATGCTGTGTCCCATTCAGGTATTTGTTACTTCTCATAGACATGACACAAAGTAGCAGTTTTATGCGGATTGCATTGATAAAAGTTTCACTTAGAACCATTACTGTTCAGTAAAAAAAAAAAAAATCTCAAAACTGATCATAATGACTAGAAACCCCTTTCCATGTGTACACCTTCCACCATGGCCATGGTGCATGCATTTCAGCCTGAAAGTTGCTTTTGACTTTGACAGAATCCTAATATTAGCACTTATGTCTAACGCAACCAGCAGCACTAATCAGAACAAAAAGTGCAGCAAAAACAGTGCCCTTGTGCTCCTGAAAAGTCCATTTTGCATCCTACTAAGAATTCTAGTACTCTCCTGGAACTGAAAAGCATAACGAACTTTAACTTTTCAATACCTAAGTTGTTGAAAAGACACACCGAGGTCTAATCATTCAGAACCAACTTCAAAGCATGGCACTACTTTGTCCTCACACATGTCAATTTTGGAGAGCAAGAAACATCTTCAACACACTTAGCTCCTAGACATGTCTCCAAGAAAGTAAGAAGTTACCGACGACATTTAGGCTTGAAAAAAAGGTATGCAGCATGAACGAGAATGCAGTGCAATGTAAGTTGACTCTTTGCTTTTTATAATACAGACGAGATGAATAAAGAATAGAAATATTGCTTTTTTTAAATTTGAAGACAAAGTACTTTCCTTGAACAGATGGAAGAACAATTAATGAGTATATAAAACAGCGATGGTTAGAAAGTCTTAAGTCCCTTGCCTCTGGCAGAAGATAAATTCCTTTTCTGTATAGATGCTTTTGCAGTTTCAGACACGTGTATGAGATCAATACATTTATTTGTCTTTGGTAAGGAGGCACAGTAAAAACGAAAATTCAGGTTTTGCAAACATCATCAGATACCAACTATAAGAAACAGGAAAAAATAAATACCCACCTAGCTTTGCCTCAGAAGTGTCCATCTCCCATTTGCTTTTCGGAATGTAACCCTAAATCATACACAGAGAGAAGCTCGGAGGATTAGAGAAAGACACACATGCATATCACTTTTGAACTGGAAACAGCATTATAATGGGAGCTTAAGGTATTTCTTTTCGTAAGGCACAATTCCTGTTACCAGATGAAGGAAACAAATTACTCAGTATTTCAGAACTTCTGCATCCACTTCCCATTCAGTGATTTTAGCAGCCCTTGCAAATCATTACAAGAGTGCTACCCTCTGCAAACACAGAACTCCAGAATGAGTCTAACAGACAGCAATGGTGCTGTGTGCACAGTTACTATATTATATTATCCCAGGTGGAAAAGTTATTGCAACACAACTTATCAGGCATAAAGAATATTCAAAGCTTTACAAATACAGATGAAAAAGTTACCGTAGTCATAAGCTTTTAAGAATATATTCCCAGATTTACGACACATAAGCTTCACTTAATAATCCTTTCGAAGGGATATACTAAATTCTTGTACGAGTGATTAGTCCACAACTAAACAAAATTCTTTTTTGTTTAAATGACAGTATCTGCTGAATCACTAAGATTTTAGTATTATTTTTCATTTTAAAATAACCCTCTTAGTTCAATGATTCTTTTAAAACACTTTTTCCCTGCAAATAATGTCATCATATGTTTTACGTGTAATGATCTTTAGCCAGTTTATTCCTTGTAAATGAGCATAATGATATTAAATTTGGCAAAATTGTATTTATTTTAGATATCTTCTTGTTATCTTTTCATTTTATACTCTTGGACAAGTAAATCCTTACTAAGCAACCCCTTATAACTCATTTCAGCTGTTCAGATTTCATATAAAATTACTTACGTTTCTCTGTAATCACATAAAAAGCTCAATGTAGTGAAATGCAACCCCTGTGAGAATTTCATTATTTTAAGAATTATTTTTAATAGAGAGGGAAAAGAACTACTCTAGAAGATTTCAACACGAAAACAAACAATCCACAGACCAGTTTTATTACACTAACTTCTTTCCTGCCCTATTTATAGGTTGCCTCCACTGTGGTAAACATATACATGTATTTGTTAATGCTAAGGGTTACTAAATCAGAGTGTACTATTGCAGAGAGCTACACTGCTTTTCATTATGTTCAGCACTGCTCTTCCAAAATCCTTGAAAGACCTTTTTTCTATCAAGCATATATCAGTGACTTGAGATTATCAGATCTCTGTATTTTATTGTTTTTAAATCAAGTCTCTAATTAATACAAACTGAGACAGTTTGTGCTGCAATATTTCCTTGTAACAAATAAATAAGCTTCATATATATATATGTATATTTATACTTTTAAACCAAGTTGCACATTAAAATTTGCTCAGAAAGTTTACACCGCAGCTAGCAGCCTGTATTGAACAAAGTGATGTGTGATACACTGGTGAGAACACTAAGTTAAATGCATCAATAATTCATACCATCAAGCACAGAAAAGTAAGAATTGTCTGAATGCTACAAACAACCCTATGGGAGTTGATAATAGCAACAAAGACTGACTTTGATGGTGTGAAATGGTCTATTGTGTGCTGAATCTGTACGATATCCGGGTCCTCAGATAGGATAAGAAAAGATTCAGACTTCATCCTTTGGTACAAGACAGTTGGATATTTCAAGGACATCTGCCAGATGGCAGGAGCTTCAGACCTCTCTTTTTCCACAGGATTAAATGCAGCAAAATGAAGAACCCTTAACAACTGCTCTCAAGAAGGCAACAGATACCAAATACAGTGTACTGTTCCACCTTTCTGTCTGACATGCCTCTCTGAGATTAGCCATGTGACTGAATAGCAGAGATTACATACAGCACATAATTCTTTGCTGATTTTCATCTCTTGTGAATCTGAATAGAAAACATTCTTATATGTAGATTACTTTGTTATTAATAATTTGCATAGTTTTTACCACCAAGCTTTCTCCTTTTCTCATAAAGAAAAGGCCTATTGCTATATGTGCTGTACATTAAGACACTCCCAGAGCCCATAAACACACACATACACACACACTTATGCACAGATGTCTCAAAAGCTAGACAACTTTCTCTTTGCTCACTTCCAAGAAATGAGACTAGCAGCCATATTCTTGTAAACATGGGTGCGTCTTTGAAATATTCTAACCACACTTCATGCAGTCTCATACTCTGTGCCAAAGAATAATTTAGTAAAGAGAATAAATGAGTCATGTTGCAAAAACCAGATGTTTATTAAAATCCACTCTTCCTAAGCTTTATTTTTTTTATTCCGTATTTCAACTGCTTTCTAAACTGCCACTCCTGAGGAACAGTAAATTTCCATCAAGAAAAAGGACTTTGCTCGTCTCAGACATTTTTGGTTACTTCCTGTTTATTGGAGTTTAACTGCTTGATTGTGGGAACCAGGGTTTGGACACATTCAACTCATCAAGCACTGACCAGCTGCAGCTCCAACACATACCAAGAAGTTACATTAGGAAGCCTTCTGTAGCCTTTTAAATACATACCTAAAAACGCCAGCCCTCAGGGCAATTCTCTAACCTTTCATTTATCCAAGAGACCTAATCCCTCATCTTGAAAATACCTACTGACAAACAAAGTCAGCAAGCCTTGGCAGAGAAAGCATTCTTCTTCATAACTGTTGTCATATACTGTGACAGTCGAGAACAGTTCTTTAGACACGTGAAAGGAAATAACCTAAATTAATCTTTGCCCATTCTTCCCATCCCTCCACTTAGTGTAATTCTTAGATAATCTGGAAGACAGCGCTATAGTGTACTGCAATTTATAAATGACTGTAAGAGGCATGTTGCCACGCTCCACTGATAATGCTATTTGTGGCATATACTCACAGATTCTTAAAAAAATTCAGTTAGGAATAATATGATTTAACATTAAAGTTCTCCTAGAAATGTTTAAGGAACAAATGACTAGAAATGTGTGTATTAAGATCGCACTGCTAAGAATGGCAATGGGTTGGCATTTATAAGACTGAGATTCTCCCTCAGACACATTAACAAACATTTTGTTAGAGATGGCTGATGTGTCTCCTACCAGTTCACTTTCTTCCTCCTCTGCTGTATCCTTCTTGACTTCTTCTTTCTGGTCTTCAATATTTGCATCAAAATCCTCCATCTCCACCTGTTCCAAAGCACAAGCACAGACTTACAAGGTACTGCTTGACTTCTAAGTATTATCTTTTTAGCAGAGTAAGTAGAGATTCCAAGTTCAAATAGGAGAGGAAAGAAAGGATTCATCTTGGAAAGTATGATGATGCAATATGAATACTGGCTCCATTTTGGCTTCCCTCAGAAGCAGGTTCCCTTCTAGCTACAGAGTGACAAACCGTGTGGGAAAGTAGCAAGGTTTATTTTGTTCCTTCACATGCATTCTTTATGCTACCATTATCTGTAACAGTAAGATACTTCTCTCGTTTCCCACACAATCACATTTCAAAACTTGAAATCTCAGAAAAAGATCTTAAACTTGCCATTTACGCATCACTGGAATGGCGCGCTCTGCATAGAACATCTCTATCAAGCCTTTATCTTTTATATATTTAAATATCACAGTGAAAAATAATAACTACAGAGATTAACATAATAAAGAAAATGGATGCTTTAAGACGTACATCTAACCCTGCCCATCTAACAGAATATTTTCTGGGGTCCACATTTCTAATGGGGATTCATGTGTATACTGTGGCATGCCTAAAACTCTCCAAGTGTGTACAGTTCTTCACTGCCATTAGTAAAACCTTGATGTACACAGAGTAAATCCCAAATCTGCCCTTCTCCAAGTCTACTTGAGAGCTGAGCCTTTTGCTGTCCTCTTAAAGATTACTGTTTTCCTATACAAAGAATTTGGAGATTCAAAAATAACCTGTTGACCTCATGACAAACTGCAAAGAGTAAACTCTCTTCCTATTTCAGCAGTTCACCAGTTTCTATGGCCATGGCAAGAGCTGTCCTGACAGCAACATGCAGCTAGGGTACATTCATGATGACCATACAATTAACATACTAATTTATTCCCAGAGCTCCTGAAACATCTGCCAAAGAAGAATGCAACAATACAGAAAGCTGACACACCGAAGATGCATATCACAGCAAATGGAATAAAAAGGTAGCATACTTCCACAGTAAGTGTAATCTTTTGCTACGTGTTATTTATTTATTTCTTCATTCTCTGCTACAGGTCTGTATTTCTCAAAGCAGGAAGCAAGAGTTCAAATTTTTTTATTTACTTATTTATTGTATCAAACTACTTCCTCAAATTATGACCCAATTAATCCAGTAACCTGAAAAAGTGCTGAGTTTCATCTGAGAGAGCAAAGATCCTCTTTAATTGGTAATCAACAGCTGCTGAAGAGCAACGTGGCTTCAACTCTTCCTCAAAGATGCATTAAGTCTGGGCTCCAAAATGGTGATAAAAAGTAACATGTACCTGCATGTTTGGGTAATTGCTAAGGATAATGGAATACACTTGTCTGACACAGTGATTCTGGCTTTCTACAGTGCCAAGCATAACTGCCCTGCTGTGATCATACCTTTCTCTGCTTTGTATTCTCAGTAGTCACATCTACATAATTTGTAATTTTAACAAGCAGAGATTCTCACCTCTTCGATAGCAGCATCCTGTAATAGAGAACGAATGTCCAGGCGCATCATGTGACGTGGTGCTGCCTCCCAGTGATCAGACATCTAACAAAAAACAAACAAAAAATGAAGCACCTCTAAAAATGTAACAGATTCAATGGAAAATTGGGTTTCTGATCACAAACAAGATGTATCTGTACTTAAGAAAAGTAATTTCAATCAATCCCATGAAATAACTAGCAGGTCTTCTTAGAGGAAAAGTGTAAGCATTATGTAGTCTAAAAAAGGTCAATAGTTTTCCAACAACAGCAGGCCTGAAAGCACAATGAAACATATCATTAATCCTATGACTCCCGATGTATACAGTTACCCTGCTGATATCCTTTAGCTTGCGTCCATGAATATTCCTCTTGGAACACGTCTGGTTATCTGCACTCATTTCAGCTAAGTACACCTAGAAAGAGAAAGACAATATTAAATATTGTAAATCAATTTTTAGAGCTCTTTTTCTGCCTGGTGATACACTCTGCAGTTCTACATTCTAAGAAAGGTAAATTTGTAACTGTAGACCACAGCATTTTTCCTGAATGTGGGAGGGCCTTTGCATTCAAAAGTTTAAAAATACCAGCACACGGGTGCTAGCAAGTTCAAATGCTTTTTAGGCTCTATTACCTCAAAACCCTTGGTTTTTGCAGCACTCCAAAACTGTTCAAAATGTCGCACTCTATCATTGATAGCATCAAGGATAATGAAGGGGAAGAAGCCATCATCCAAGGTCTTTTTGAAAGTTTTAAACATGCTGGTACGATAGGTCTCTTCCATATCAGCTTCATATTCGTATTCCATCACCTTTATCAAGGACAAAAGCATTTAAGAAAGAGGACACCTATTAAATTGCTAATGTTCAACTGCTGAATGTTATGACCACAAAGTACACTGGTATGAGAAGAACATAGAATCATAGAATCATTAAGGTTGGAAAAGACCTCTAAGATCATCGAGTCCAACCATCGACCCAACACCACCATGCCCACTAAACCATGTCCCTAAGCGCCTCATCTACATGTCTTTTAAATACCTCCAGGGATGGTGACTCTACCACTTCCCTGGGCAGCCTGTTCCAATGTTTAACCACTCTTTCAGTAAAGAAGTTTTTCCTCATGTCCAGTCTAAACCTCCCCTGGCGCAACTTGAGGCCGTTTCCTCTCATCCTATCACTTGTTACTTGGGAGAAGAGACCAACACCCACCTCACTACAACCTCCTTTCAGGTAGTTGTAGAGAGCGATGAGGTCTCCCCTGAGCCTCCTTTTCTCCAGGCTAAACAACCCCAGTTCCCTCAGCCGCTCCTCATAAGGCTTGTTCTCCAGACCCCTCACCATCTTCCAGGTCAACTTTTAAGAATTTGCCCATTCTGCCCTTAAGTTACATTGATTTGTTTTGAAAAACAGCCCACAGACCTCTGCACTCTTCCAAAGCCACAGACTGAAATTCTGATTGCCACTGTGTTATTCCAGAATGCCTTGTTTCTTTGTCAAGACAAGCAACTGAATTAGAAGTACCTTCTTTTTCACTTTTTTCCCTGTATCTGGGTCTCTCTCTTCTTTTTCCACTTCAGTGATAAAATAGTCATCCAGGCTGAGCACTCTTGGTGCAGGTCCTCCACATTCTACTTCCTTATCCTGGGAGGAAAGCAAAAAGAAAACGTATACTCTTGCAGTAAGAATTCCATTCTGCTACAGAGGATCTTCAAAACACTTCCAGCAAACAGCAGTTCCCTGCTCTATATTCAAAACAAGAAGAGAGCAGTACCCCTCATGCTTGCTAATAGCAGAGGGAATTCATATGCCATATGAATACACAGAACATGATATAACAGGCCGAAATTCCAGACAAACAGAAAGAGAACAGCAGAGGAAAACACATAAAAGACAAGCAGCACTACACAGTGAGTGGTTGTTTACATACCCTGATGAGTTTTGCTACATGTGTCTTTCCACTGCCAGGCAACCCTCTCATTATGATTACGATCTGAAACAAAGATCATGTAAGAATATAGGATACTGTACTACATTTAACAGAATCTCTTTTGCAAAAATTTTCTTCTAGAAAATTATGTGCTCTGGGCTCACACTTTTGCATATCATCAAGCAAAGCCAGTACCATGCCTCACTGCCTATTTTACAAACCAGGTTGTGAGGAATGGTAGTAGTTCCACAGAATAAGAGTATATGATGTTAATCATCTCAGCAGCTCATACTGCATAAGACGTTATAGATCTGGTTCAGATAATTTTATCTGAACGAAACTTGTTTAAATGTTTTATAGCCTGAATCTTGTTCTTTCTTATTTTATATGGTGCACTGCCAAATCTCTGACTGTAAAGCCAGGTCTTTCCTCTGATACATCAAGAACCCAAGTGAAGATCTCAGAAGAGTCTAAAATACATTAACATTACCCACTAATAGGAATTTCATCTTAGCATTCTCAGGAAGTTTACATCTCCTGTGGACTCCTAATAGCTATGCTACAACACTCTAGGCATTTGCAAAAGAACCAAAAGAATTTCCAGAGCTTCCTCAAACGTAGCCTTGTTCCCAAAATATTACACTCATGAGCACTTTATCTGAATACAGACCTCATAGAAACCGATTGCTGCTTTCACAATGCATACTCACCCTCTCCGGCCTGCTATCCCGTCCTGGTGGCTTCAAAATATCATCTACATTTTTAGATTCTGGCTTCCTTTCCACTCGTGGAGCAGGTGGTGGCTGACGAGGCATTGATGGAGCAGAAATAGGAATCCTTTCCTCAGGGTAATTTCTACGATCACCTTCAAATTCCAGTGTTTGGACAGAAGAATTTTCTTAGTTCAGTAAAATAAAAAAATTAAGATGTTCATATCCAGCTGAGCTGATTTAAACAGACCTTCATTATTTTAGGATAAAATCATGGATTTGTCCCCAAAATAATTCAAATTTCTAATCTTGAACCTATTGCAATCAAAGACATTTTTTAGCAGAGTATATAACTGTTGCGTTCCTGATCTCATCATCACTGAGAAACAAAACTACATGACACCACCCAAATAAATTTTCCTGAATTATATATTCTGAACAAAGGAATACTGCAGATCAATTAATCTTCTCCCAATTAATCTTCACCCCTGCGAGCCCATATTTTTCATAATATTCTAGCATGGCTTCAAGATTGAGAAACTGTACCTCCAAACATGGAAGGTCCATGATCATATGCTGGACGATCTGTCTTTCGTTCATATGGTGGTCTTTCAAAACCACCCCGTCTGGAGGAAGGATGGTCTTTCTTGTCACGGTAAGACTGAGTCCTTGAAGGTGTAGTAGGAAGAACCCTGCCAAAAGAGTATTTTGCGTATTTCTAGAATTTCTACTATGGGTTCCAGAGAGAAATTAACATGTACCTTACAGGCAAAATGGACAGCCTGATACCCAGTACAGCCTGAATTGTATTGATTTCAATAGTGTTCTGAAACCACGTACCTATCATCTCGGGGATGCCGCTCTTTTTCAAATCTCTCTCGTTCGTAGTCCACAGAACCACGGTCTCTGTGCAATTCCCGCTCTCTCTTGAAATCCCGATGATCTGTGTTGGAATTACCCTGACGCTCAAAATAAGGCTCACGATCTCTTTCTCTGTTGTAACGACCGGGGTGCTCTGAAAGGAGAAACCCATGGAAATCCAAACTACTACAACATACTCTGAATTTTTTATTATTTTTGAAGGAAAAGCAACAAACATGAGTGCAAGAAAAGTATATAAAAACATATGATGAGAGGGCTAGAATGGATTTAATCAGCCACCAATCTCTTGTCCAAACTGTAACAGGCAACCATACCATGAAATCCTACTTAAAGCTACAAAACTGAATTTTTAAAGTGGCTCAGTCATTGACTGCATTACTCCTCTTGACAATATAAACTGTTATTCTTATGGGCCTCTGAAGAAAATGAAGTGGTTCTAGCTTAAACAAGAGTTACTTAGTTTAAAATACGCTTTTAGTGCCTTACAACTTTTCTTAAGAGCTAACTAACTGTCTGAGCGCTAGCCAAGCGCTCCCTACCTTTTTGAAATGTTTGCCTCTCCGGTAGAGGTTCCGGACGCAGGGTTACCCTCTCCCCATATGGAATCTGTTCCACTTTACTGGTGGTTATATCTGGTTAAAAATAATCAAAAAATAATCAAGGTCTTAAAATACCCCTCTTCCATTTCCTTTCCTCTGTCATGAAAAGCAATCAGTCAATGGTATTAAAAGTGACTGGAATAACTTACCAAAATTTCTTTTAATGGATAATGCAAAAAGAGCTATACATAAACACACAACACCATGGTTTTGAAAGACTGAAGCGGGTGTGTGTGTGTGTGTGTGTAAGTATGCGTACCACTTTATCTTAAGAATGGGACTTCTGCCTTTTCAGATGAGTTCAGGTAGCGCGCACGGTCAGAAGATTACAAACATTAAAATGCTCTGAAAGTTTCAATAGCTCATAGAACTACTGTAATGTCAAGCATATTAACTGAAATGCTCACTTCAGATTCCTAACAGTGACAATTTTTCTAACAGCTTTTAGTAAAATATCTACTTAATGGAATCAATATGGCTTCAATTCATGTTATGGCACCTTAGAGAGAGAAAAAACACTCTTTAAACGACAATGCACAATTTAAGAACTTCTTTACGACATGATTTCACTCCTGTTAAAAACTAAGAATGAGGGAAATGAATTCTATTAAAAAAAACTAGTGTTGAACTTTAGCTTTGATAAGCTCAATACTAAAAATCAGAGCCCTTCACTGTTTATGTGTTAAATGCCTGTTTAGAGCGCACGCCCTTCAGAACTAGAACTTCGTCTCCGTCCCCGTCTAGAGGGTACCTCACACCCATTAAGCAGTATATAAATAATGCAAACACCAGTCACATTCTGCTTTAAGTTACTAAGTCATACCTAAGAACTGTAACAATCCAAAGTACTTTCTACCACAGTCATTTCATACTCAGCTACAAAGGGATTAAGGGAAGTATCCATATCAATCTAAATATAACACATTGATGTGATCACATCAGTTGGTGTTTATTAGAAGCAGACATGGCTATACACCATTCAGTTCACATGAAATAGCTCATTATCACAGCATTGAAGAAAACATTAAACTCGAGGCTGGAGGTTACAGACTCCTTAAAACTGCATTGCTTAGCATTAGATCGCAACGTATGCAGCCTACAGGTCAACTGCAGGACATCTACAGCATGCTTTGCGTGGCACACTCCTTTAGAAAGAAGCTAGAAGGACTAATTAGCTCTCCGTTACAGATCAAACAAACACACTGTAATACCCACCTCGCCCGTGGCCATAATCCACAGTTTGCTGAATCACAGGTGCTTTAGGAACCGGTGGAATAACTGGAGGAAGGGACACTGGTACAGCTGATGGAACAGAGGTGTGAACGGCAGGTACTTTCACAGGTGAGGAGACAGGTGGAGGCATCATTGACTCCTGTTTACACAACTCGTACTCCATATTTGCTCCTTTATCCTCATTCGTGTCCCAGAGTCCGTGGAAAGAATCCTCATCCCAGCGTTCCTGTTCCACAGCAGAAGGTGATGGTTTTAAAGACTGACCATGACTTGGGGTTGTAGTTGGAGTAGAAACTGGAGCATGTGGCCTTGTCATAGGTGTAGCAGGCCTTGTCAGTGGGGCACTTGGTCTTGTCACAGGGGTGGGCTGTCTGAACAACACGGGAGGCTTTATAATAACAGCAGGAGAAGGTTTAATAGCTTGGGCTTCTACTGGTGCCTCTGAAGATAGCTGAGAAGAGACCTAGATGCAGAAAGCACTTTTAATGTAGATCTGTAAACTAACCTTCTCTCATCCTCTGTAAGTCAGTAAGCACAATGGCAACTGGTAATCAAATCATAAGCATTTTCTAGTACCTCCATCAATGTGCTACAGGTGGGAGGACAATATTTCAAGAACTGGTGGCCTGAATTAATTTGGTGCTTGTTCACTATGTGAAGGCTTAAATACTATTTATTTTCTCCTTCAAAATAACCTTACCAATTTAAGCTCCAGTAGGCCTATCTCAGTTCAAAAGTGTCTACGGTTTTATTCCCAAAGACTCCTGCTGTCTGCAAAG